TGGATGAAAATCTCTCAGTATAGTGGTATTATAGAATCATAGGGCTTCCTTGCCAAAGTAAGTTCTCTTGCTGTAAAAATGATGTGTCTTGTGTTTGAGTGGTTAGCACTGCTTCGTGTTCAGAGGTTCCAGCTTCAAATCTTGTCCCAATGACTGATTACCCTGACTGAGGATTTTTGCGGTGTAAGTCATAAATATAATCTGAAATATAAAATCTAGTTACTGTTTATTGATGCCTATAATTAACATTTCTGTTTAATGTTCATTGTTAGAGGATATGTATAATGGAAAAATTGTGTTAGTTGAAGTGTTTAACAGTGTGAGGCATCTTCTCATGATGTCTGTATTGTTTGTTTGAAATTGGCCCACTGACAAAGACTGAGGTGGAAGTTGCTGTTAAATGTTGCACCGTTTGTAAGATTTACAGTTGAAGTTGTGTTTTAACTGAAGCAAGACATTTAAATGTAGTTGCAGATGTGCCAGAAAAAAAACATATGTTACATTGCCAGCTGAAATAAGGTTATATTCAAGATCTGAGGTTCTCACGGTGGTCAAGTTGGCGACATCTTTGCCACTCTGAGAACCTCAGGTATCAACTTTACCTTCTACAGCATCCATTGGGAGAATAATTTATTTTTTTGTTTTTAGAGTTTAGCTAATGGCATAGAAATATACTGTTTCTTGGTAGTCACATGAATGTTATTAGTTAATGGATTGGGTGAAAAGCAGAATGACACATGTATTTGGAATATACCAAGGGCCAAATATCGACTGAAGAACTGACTGTCTTGCATGTGTTGTTGTTTGTGGTTATTCTAAGTTATTGCAGATGAATGTGAGGACCTCAGAATACATGGTGACCGTCTTCTGCAAAATTCATTGTTTAGAATCATCCTGAGATCTGATCTTACTGTGTGATAGGATAATTTATGTATAATGAATGGGAAAGGATATGGAAGGCAGCAGTCTTGACATAATTTTGAATACTGTCTTGGCATTTGCTCAGAGAGACCATGAAAGCCTTGAAAAACTGTAGTCAGGATTGCTAATCTCTGGCCCAGGATTTGTACCTGGGACCTACCAAATATGAAGCAGGAGTGCTAACCATTAAGCTGTGTCACCAGTTCGTAGCTGGTCAAGAAATTCCCTGCTATTAGTACTGTCTGTGTGGCCTTAGGATCTGGTTCCTGTGGTGATGAAAGCTCAACTTACATAAAACCTTGTCGTATGTGGATTATGCGGGGGGTTTCCATTGTCAGAATAGTGATCCTGGAAATCCTGAGAAATGCTACGAAGAATAATCAGAAGAATGTTGTTTTATCCCTTCTCTTTGAGCTGGAAGGTGCACAAATATTTGAGCCTGAGGGTCTGAGTTCCTCTTGGTGGCTAAATTGTGAAAAGAACTGAAAATGGTTGGGAACTGCAGATTTAACCTGTAGGTTTAAAGAATATTATACAGTCACATGTTTTCTGTTGCTCTTCTTCCATAAAATCTTTCATTTGTGTATGTTGTGTGTCATGAGATCAGTTTTAAATCTTCACTTTGAATTATCTTAATATGGAATTTCAGGAACTAATGCAGTTACCAGCTAAAGTCGCACATTTGTGTGTGGATGTTTTCTGTATTCCTATAAAGAGCATGAATCCTAGTTGAGCTCTGGAAGGGAATGGAAGGAGGCAATTCATGGTCTGAGAGTTTGCAGAAAGAGAACTTCCTTGCTTTGCTTTGCCTTGCCTTGTTGTATAGAGCCATTTTTAGCATCTGCTGTTGTTATGAGTCACCATCCTTGATATAGCAGCTTGGGGGTTTGTGTTGGCTGTTCTCATGCCAGTTCACTGCCTTCCTTCTGTGTGCTGCATGTGTGCTGTATCTTGCCCTCACTGTTGTCTTGTAGTGGTGGTGGTGGTGGTAATACTGGTGCTTTGACCTTTGACTTTACACATCATTATGTGTGATAGTTGCAATGTTGTGCAGTGTAGTTGGCTCCTTGTCAGTAGCACATGTAAGTTTTATTGTTTGATGAAACACTTTATTTCCATTGTATTAAAAAGATTTGTTTTGAATTGTAATGTTTGTTGTTAGGTGTCGATCAGTTACAGTTAACTGACTATGAAATTTAGACAAACTGTGCTTATGAATTCTTTGATCATTCTGAATGAGATTCCATTTGGAAGGATTCAAGAGAATCTTACAATGTTATCACCAGTTTCCCTAGTCAATTAAATTATTTAATTTCACCATACCCTGAACTATTGTGTGAGATAATTTAAATGCCTTCTTTTTCTCTATGTTATAGCATGTAAACCATGACAGTGGACATGTAATATTACTATTTTACTGTGTTAGACATAAGAATATTAATGTACAAACTTTGGATGGGAAATACTTTGTAAGGTTATGTTTCAAATGTTAAATAATTTGCATGCTTTATTTAAATTTATGAAATATATTATTTTTTTGATATAGAGAAAGTATTTTTATCATGAAGCAGTTTTTCCTTAGCTTTTAATGGGCGACTTCCATATCCAAGAAAATTATGTTTCAGATGCCTTCTTCCTGTTTTTTTGTCTATTTATTTTCAACCAATGTTGTATAAGTATTTGTATTTATGACCTTGGTGCTAGAAGGAGGTGAGTGGTCATTGTCATGCACTGGCCACTTTGCCCTCAAGGAAGGAACTCCTGTACTTAGTGGATAGTAGACTGGGTGGGTCCCAGACCTCGTTTGGTCTTGTGAAAAAGAGAATAGTCCTGCATTGCCAGGAATCAGAACTCAGTTATCTAGCATGTGGCCCAGTCACTATACTTTAGAGACAGGAAGACCATGAAAACCTCTTTTCGGATAATCAATCCCTCTCAGGTGCAAGTTAAGACTTATGATGTACCACCATTGTGATTGGTAAGAAGAAATGAATTCCATTGTTTCAGCAACCAGCGGTTTTGAGTAAGGAATCATAGTGAGCTCTGGATATATTTGATTTTCCAACACCTGACTCAGTGAATGTTCCACACCCATGATAGGGTGACAGACACCATAGGTCATTGTCCCTTCACAAGTAACAAAGGAGCAAATCAAGTGTTTGTTCTTGCTGCTACCAGATACTGTAACATTTTATTTTTTAATTTTTTATTAATTTTATTATTTTATTAATTGGATTGTACACATGACTGAAAATTAACATAAATATATTTATATTGCCACACCATTTTGGAAACTCTTTCAGTACGGATGACTTTAGATTTGAACACAAGAATGTGTTATGACTAAAATTACAAGGGCATTTGCAAAGAATGACTGCTAATTTGTATACACACAACAGAAAATGTGTGTACGAAATAGCAGTCATGTCTATTAGTTTCGAAAACTTAAAGAGAAGCACCTGAAGATGACCAATTAAGGTTGAAACTTGTAGTGGAATCTTGATAAACATTGAAACAAAACTCAAGAATTGCTGTGTAGACAGTCAACCTAACATTTAACACACAACAAGACGCATCCCTTAAAACTGTTTATGACTTTACCATTGAGTTTGAAATGTCTGATTAATAGTTATTTAAAAATTCTGTTCAGAGATTAAGTCTTATATGAGAACTTTATTGACCTTTATACTTCTGTATTGGTCTGATCCTGAAATTTGCAAACTTCATAGAATGATTATATTACGGATGAGATGGGTAGGAAACATTGCACGTGTAGGGGAAATGATATTATTCAATGAACATAATGGGAAGTGTCTACTTGATAGATCATAGAATAAGTGTAATTAACATGGATTTTACTGAAATAGGATGAGAAGGTGTGGACTGGATTCAACTGACATTTATAAACATGCTCTTGTTAGTTGTTTAGACATACATTTAGGAGCTGCAAAATGTAGAAGAGTGTTACATTTCTTTGGAACTCGATTCTTCAAATTTTTTTATTTTTCTAAACAGTTTATTACTGCCTTCTATTAGTGTACTGAATTTCAGACTTATGTTTCATCTGGAAATACTGTAAAAAGTATGATGGCTGGATATTAAGTTTCCTTTTATTTGTTATTACATTTAATTTCTGCATAAATATGTAGTGGCAACTACTTTTTTCCTGAAATTTTGATGATTCTCCTAAGTTAGTGTATGTACACCTTACAAATACTAAATATAGTTTGGTCATTTGGTTTTTGTTGTATTATGTTGCATAATATTGCAACTCTCTCCTTTTGAGGTTTCTCACATCACACATACTTGTTTTGTGTAAGATTTTTAAAAAGAAGTCCTTAAGAGTCTATGTTTGTGTTGTCTGTGTAGGCAGCAGCACTCACCACGAAGAACTGGACAATGTTTATCTCATGCTGGACCCACAGCTTCATCCCATCACCCCCAACACCTCATGCCAGCAGTCTGTGCAGATCTTTGAGCAGCACAAGCAGGTAAATAATTCCTGATCTGCTGCAAGCCTGATATAACCCAGGTGTCTGGGAATATGACTGACTTCCAGTGTTGTAAATTTACTAGTTCAGCTTGGGGGCTGGCAGATAGGCTTTCTTACAAGAATAAACAAAGAACTTTGAAAAATCTGGTTAGTAGATGGTAAAAGGTTATCTAGGCACTACAATCCTGAAATGTTTTGCTTTCATCACTTGTCATATAATGCCAAATTATAAATTATAGACACGTGTAAATCAGATATTCAGACTGTTTTAAGTGCATTTTACTTCATGTGTCTAATTTTGTAAAGTATACAAATTGTTGTTAAAATGTTCATAATTTAATGGAATCAGATAAATCTGCTTTGAAATTTTAGTTGTGTGTGTGCACGTGTCCTTGCATTTCTGTAGTGTCTGGAGTGTGAATTATATATATATATATTTTCTTAGCTGGCACAGGAGTACTTGAAGGTACAGACGGAAATTGCATACTTATCTCGCCACAAAGCCCAGCTGGCAGAGAGACTTAGCGAAGCTGAAGGCTTGAGTCAGCTGGACCAGCAGGATTCTGAGCGTCACCAAGAGGAACTAAGAAAGCTTGAAAATGAAAAGGTGTGTAAAATTACTGTTAAGTTAGTGGGAAATATGATATTTTATTTCATAATTTATATGTCTGCATTTTACAGTGTAAAAATAAGAACCAGTATTTCATGTAATCTATTCTTATGTATTAAAGCTGCGATCAGTGAAAAATTTCTTCACCCAAGACTTGAAAGGATAGCACCAAGTATAAAATTCAAGGTGGAAGAATGAAGTATAAGGACCTTTGCCCTTTGTAAATGACACCAGTGGTGTCACAGTTGCATGATCAGGGTGTCTCTGTTGTGGTTTATTGCTTGGCTGGGGATTTCCCATGGTAACCATGGTAACAAAAATTTTTGGAGAACATATTTTGCTTTTATTTGTTTCATGATTTTTGATGTAAGAGATTGAGCCAGCTTTTTTATCACTGACTTTTGTAAACGAAGTTAGTGAAATATGGTAAGGGGATAGTGAGAGGTTCCTTCGTAATTTTGAATTGGTGTTCATGTTTTGTTGACATGTGTATTCACACTGAAAGATCCTCCACATGCTTTCTACTTTCTTGGTATAAGAATACAAAATCGAATGAAAAGGGAATGATATTGTACAAATTATGTTACCTGTGTTTGAGAGAGTAAGGTTTTAAAATTGCTCTTTCTTTTTTTAGGCGAATTTGTTGGCATTACACCAAAATCTGAAAAGGCAGCTCGATATCATAAAACGACAACGTGGAACCAGTGTGGGTGATGATGGCTGGGTAGTTGTGCAAAACCAAAACCATTCCCATGTACCCTAACCTCAACTGAACCCACTTCATCCCATCATCAGCAGCAAGTACTCTGGGAGGTATCCTTGGTACGTTTTATCCAGAGAAGCTAAGCATGACTGGTCAAAACAAAGTTTAACAACAAGAAATACGTTCAGTCTGAAATGCTTAGAATGATATTTTCTGATATAAAGAAACTATAAGGATGCTATTTGTGATATTAATTCAGGGTACCAAGAGGGCCTTTGGTGTGAATGAACAGAATGAAAGGTTGATGAGTTGAACAGTACTGGTTTGCAGTGTTGGCAACTAAATGTGCATACTTCAAGTAGCTGGCTGGTGTATGTGTGCAGTGTGTCTGGATGATGAGAGGGCCCGTGCTGAGAAGGTGTTAGCATTCTTGATGAAGCAGAGTACTACCTTGCTACATTAACTTTTAATTTGGTGACCAAACTAAGGGTAACTGCCACTTGGTCTGTCTGCTCTGATTGGCTACAAGGAGGAGAAGGGAAATGCACATCAGTGACAGTACACTATCTTTGGGATTCCCTGTAATTACCTTACTTTAGTTCATATACTTTTTTTTTTGCCACATTGAAAGTTGATGTATTTGGGCAGTCTCTGTTTATTGAAGCATAAAATGAAAAGTTGACATCACAATTTTACATTCTCTAGTCATCTCTAGTGACTTTATGTACCACAGTGTACGTGACGTTACCATCAGTGTATGGACTTTCTTCATATCTTCTGAGTTCTGCAAGATAATAGGACATACAAAACCTTGAAGACTCAAGAAAGAAAAGGTTTAGTGGTTGTGCTCATGGAGTTTATATAGTTGATATCCGAATAGAGTATTAAGGAGAATTTCAGTTCCATCTGGAAGAATAGTATATTCATGAGTGAGTTTATGAAATTAAATCAGCTGTTGATAATCTGCAGAAGTGGTGGATATGAAAACAAGGATTAGGAAGACATTATGCACAGTGATGTAAGGTTTTAAAATTCACAACATATTTGGTATTCATTACAAAGTAATGAGGTATATGGCCTGTAGAATCTAAAATATGAAGAAAATGGTGTCATTATGCATTAGATCCCTACTTTCTCTGTGAAAATGTCCCGATGTTGATTTTTCAAGTATTTAAGGAAAAGCCCTTCTCTGATGTGTTGTTTAGTTCGGTATTAGATTTAAAGCAATCTGAATGGAGCTTTTTCTTTATCTCAGGCCAGAGCATGAAATGACATGAAGCCAGATTTGGCAAGTGAGTGCTGGCACTACAACATTATGCTGTGTTATGTTCTCTTACTCAACATATTTTAATTTGCAGCATTTTACTTGTACTCCAGTTTTATGTAATTTGCCAGCTTTTGGTCTGTGATATGAGGGTCCCCAATAATCTTCGCTTTGATTTTGATTATTTATGGTGGTGTTTCAATTGGACATCTTCCAAACTGTGTCTGTATTCTATACTGTCATCACATATAAAGTCATATAGTGGAAATCAAAAGCACTTGTGTGTTAACACTTTTAAACTCTGCAGATATTTTGACAATATTCTTATAGTTGGTTAGTAAATTTATGTGCAAAATTTGATAACCATTATTCAATTTCATTTCATGTCATGTGCTTCCTCACAGTTTAATCAGAAGAAATGAAACTGATACAAACCAAATTGACTTTAACATGTTGAGACGTGGATTGAAGTCTAGTCTCATTAGTTTCCAACCAGTCCTCACAAATATAAGTCTGAATTTCACAAAGAAAAATTATGAATATTGATGGAACACAGTTTAAGTTTCCAGAAATTACTTGTTACTGAATTTAAAAATTCTTCACCTGAAAAAGTGACTGAATAGTTGCTAGTTGACTGTAATAAAAACAAAACTGAAAAATATGACACCTGAAGCAAACTAGACTGCTGTGATGGTTTAACACACTGGGTGTTGTAAATTTAATTTCAGCAGTTTTTAAATAGAATTGATGTTCTTTGTGGAAACTTCCAATTGGAATATCATAATTATCGTAATTAAGTTGTTGGTCACTGGGTGTGCACAGGTAACTGTCTCTGAGGATGTGGAAGAATCAAGTTATGTTAATAGCAAAAACTATACTAGTGTAAGAATAATGAAAGTATTAACTCTAAGTAGTACATGCTATATTTAAAAGTTTTATTAATGTAAGACAAGCAGTGAAATAAGAATATTTTCTATGAACCTTCTCTCAAGTAGCATGCTATCCAAATAATGCATAAAACTAGAATCCATCTGCCTCTTATCTGTATAAATATCTTAAAAAAATTAAGGTAAAACTTTTAGTGCAGAAGTTGGAAATTTTAATTCCTTGAGTAACCTTTGAAATTATGTTCTGCCTTCAAATATGTTTGAACCCATATTCTGTTAAGTGATTGATAATTGTGCTTGGCATGTATTAATGCAAGTTTGATATATTTGGTGCCCATGTAGTGCATTTTAGGCATGGATAGTTGAATGTAGTAGCTTAAGGGTTAAGTGTTACCATGCATAAGAAGAGGCTAGCAGACTCTGTATCTGACCTATCTGTGTTCAAAATTTCACTTCTAGTACCTGAAAGTTGTTAGACATAAACTTCAGAGGTATGCCTGTGCATTCATTGTATTTCTCAACACATGATTTGTGAAAATTTGTGAGCGTACTTCTAATGTCTCGGCAACAAATTTCATATGCCTGGCTAAAGTGGTTTGTATGACAGATGGAGGAGTAAGTATAGATTTTCCCAAGTTCATTTTGCTCCTCTCAGCTAAGAAATTTATGCTTTTGCCACATTGGTATTATTAATAGTAAGGTATTAAAAATAATTACTCTGTGGTGGCCTACACCTTTCACAGATGTTTCCGTTAGGAACTATACAATAAAAAATTATTGAGTTTCGTATTTGATTAAGACTGGCAAAACATTGACTGCAGTGCAGTTAAAATGCTTTTTAGTGTAGTGGTAAATTTAACTTTAGATATGTGAAAATGTCTTAAAGAATGATGAAAATTATTTTTTCATTCAAAAGTAATTGAATAGTGGATGGCTGTACATGTACCTGTGTATTAACATTAATGAAATAGAATTGAGAAGTACAATGAGTTGGAAGGCAAACTTGTAATCTGCATTGATTCTACGATATAGAATAAGTCAAAGTACAGTACCAAGAATTTTAAGAGTTAAAATGTGTACTCCAGTTCAGAGCACACATATTTCCCACATGCAGTATGTGATAGGTATTTTCTTCAACAACAAATAAAGAAATGAATATCGGTAGCTGGTTCCACTATCTTGTAGATTAAAGATCTCATTTCACGCAGCATGACTTAAGCAGTTTAAAGAGAATAACTGAATGAATAAACTTTTGAAATGTTTTTCACTGTTTCTTCTGTACCTTTATATACAAATGTGACATTTTACAAAAACTTAAATAGTTCTGGTGTAAAGTGACATTATGATTTATGATTTCTCAATTTAAACAGTACATTTATATACTTAGCTGAAAAACCTAGAGATGGCTGAAATTTTACCAGTGAAGCTTTTATAGTAGGTCGATAGAAATTTAACTGACAATGAAGGAAATTCATATTGAGGAACAGTAAATGGTTATTCTGCTGTTTCAAACAAGAAATGCATAAACTTATTAATTTATGAAAATGGCCTCAATTATGTGTTTAAAACATTTACTGATGATCAATTTATTAAGATGACAACTTAGCCTCTTTGTACATGCGTTTTAGTGGGATTACAAAAGATTTAATTTATTTTAATGGAATCTTGCCTTAATATTTTTTTAAACAGGTTTTATACTGAGTGAAATTTGAGGTTCTGATGGTGGTGAGTATGAAGATGACTGCCAAGTTTACCAATGTTTCAGAGGTGTTTGCATGTCAACAACCTAGAAGACTGCCACCTTCAGGTTTTATTCTACTTTAAAATTGCTTGAATAAAAATTAATTGTGTTAAACATTTTCTTTCTCCCACTAGTCTGTACTCTATATAGTATGCATAACTTTGTGCCTACTTACTTTTTGTGTATTGTGTTACATCACATTATCCACATGTGGCTGAACTTTTTATTTCAGTGACTGGTACAAGACCGCTGGCTACCCACAGATCATGACAGTCAAGTTTTCAGAACTTGATAATTTCTGTACCTCTGAAAAGTAGGTTCACAGAGGGCATAGTTATTTTGGATGAAACACTTACTTTGTTGATGACAACATTTACAGATGTAAAAGGAATTTTTTTATGATACCAGACTGATTGGTGAAGAGTAATACTCTTGACTTATATACTGGGTGTACGAATTCAGACATTGGCTAGGCTTCTGACTCCTAACTGAGTAATTTTGTGATGTTCCTAAATATCTCCAGGTTAATGTTTGGTCATGACCATCACCTTCCAAATTCATATTGAATCTCCATCAGTGATCTTCTGTCTTATTCAGAACTATATAAAGTATGTAATTGAAGTAGCAGTTTTATTTATCTAAAAGTAATCCCCCCCCCCAAAATCCAAAACACTGAATCTGCGGTTGGCAACAATTCTTGGACACTTACACAACAATTCCATATATTCTTGTCCAAAAGTATTAGTAGTTTAATATCAGTTTGAATTGCGAATAAATAGTTGATTTTTACACAAGTGTAAACATATTTTAATGCAGCCAGTCTTTTGACCTTACCAACTTCTGCATCCCAGGCAGAGATGGAGGAATCCCTTTATGCAACTGAAGTGCCCATAAGATGGAACCATGCATCTTCTTATTCCTTTTTTTTTTTTTAAATTAGATTGTCTAGTTGTTGGGTGGCCGGTAAAGCTAACATGGTGTTTACATAATGTAAAGAGAAGTGTTATAACATGAGTACTAGTACTTACCCATATCTACAGTTATTTATTATTTGTGATGAAAAGTTTTGGAATAACAAGTAGTAACTATTGAAATTAAAGTGACTAAATGACAAAATAGAAAGTGTATAACAAGGCTATTGTTGAGGAAAATGTGCTTCCTGAGAAGAAATGTTATTTTGGTAACTAATAAGCATGTCAGCCATGATTTATTTTATTACAAGACGTATATATATGTAAGTACATTTTAAGACCAGTTGTGAAGTATATAGCACATGAAATATTTGAAACTTTTTGTAATCTTCCTCACATGTTAAGTATGCCCCCTGCATTTGGAGTAATGTCAAAATGAAACAAATGGGGCTTTTTATTAATGATAATAAATTTCCATTCAAGTAGAAACAAATATTTCTTTGTGTATGCATAATCTTAAGCTTGTTGATTCATTTTTAGATATCTTTTTCACAGGGCCCTCTGTTACAGGATTCGTGATCCTGAATTATTTAGTTATCTTTTGATGGCACATGGATGTACACAATACCTTCCTATTGATCTTCAGTATCCATAACTAAAGTACTATATTCCTGGTGATCTTCATTGTCTATAACCAAAGTACTATCTTTCTGAAGAGTGGCTTTCAAACCACATATTCTGGATACATCCATAAACTCCCTTATCTGATAATGAACATATTCATATCCAGCTTGAAAATCAGTTGATTGTTACAAGTCTATTGTGTTCCTCATTTTCAAGACATGTAAGTGCATAATGTTCTGTTTTGAGAACAACATTTTTCATGAAAATTTTGGGTCAAAATCTTTTAGAAAATACCACTCTGAACATTGTTTCAGCGTTATGTAGATCTG